CCCCAAAACCCCAAAACCCCAAAACCCCAAAACCCCTTAAAAATCAGAACTATTGAAACTTTAGAGACTTATAAAATTTATTTCGCATGCAAGACCATAACTCGAGAGGTACAACAGGGCGACCAGTGGGCTATGCTGGGAGATTTTTGAAAGGATTTGGAGCTGGGAAAAAGCTTTATGGGGAAGAAGGAGGAGGGGTTTAGAGGGAAGGGTTGAAAAGAGGCTGATTTTGGGAGAGAGATGGGGATGTGAATGAATGTTATAGATAATAGCAGAAATACAGATGAAATTTGTGAGAAAGAGGAGTTTTCAACTGAAAGTATGTGAATTTTGGGGTATTGGTTGTATAAGAGGGATTCTAATCATTTGGAGCAAAATTTTAGGAAGGAATTTTGTATGTAGTTTTCTTTATTTTCGCAAAATAAAAAAGTAGAACATATTTGAAAATGTATAAAATCTCTCCTTACAAAAGAAAATTTATTAAACTTGATTATTTATTAAAGGGAGCATTTTCTATAACTTTATCGCTTGAACTGAATCCTAATAAACTTTCCAAATCTTCAAAATACACCTTAAATATAGAAGACCAAAGAAGAACTCCTCAGACAGTGAAAAATAGATTAGAAGAATCAGAGCATAGAAGAAATGGCACCACATGTCTGTAAGTATTCTTTTGTACTCTCATGATTATTTTAATATCTTTTTATTTTTCCAATAGAAACAGTCAGAGCGAGAGAAAACGAGGTAAGCAAGAAGGTTTCCCTAAATATTTTATTTGAGTTTTAAACAACATTGAGCTACTCCATTCTTACTTTCTGATAATATAGGCTCTTTAATGTCCACCAATAAAAGTACCCCAGATCTGAAGCTAAGCACCCAACTATCTACCAGTAAGGAGGACCACAGAACCAGCGATCTCTTTAGTGGAGCAGAACAATCCAAAACATTTATATCAATTTCAGAACACCAGCTACAAATGTCAGCAATGGAAGAGCGAATTTCTAAATTAGAAAACTTAGTCTGGGCACTATACAAAGAACTCAACGGGAAGATTGACTCTTCAGCAGCTAGCACACAAATTCAGATAGAAGAGCTTACTGGCCAGATGGCCCAGTCCAATCAAGCCAGGAGATCAGAAGATGGCTACCAAGGCAGTGAAGAAGAAAACACAAATATTCATAATGGAATCTCTCCAGAAGGGCAAGGCGAAGATGAGTATTACCAAAGCAGCCTGTGTAAGGTAGAAGAAGAGGCAAGCAGCCAGGACTACAGCCAAGAAGGAGGAGATGAATTCTCAAGAAATTCTATTGATAGAAGTGACCCTAATGTTGCTGGTGCAAAAGAGAGTCCTCCTTATGATTACCAGTCAGAACTTATGAACATAAAAGAAGTTTCAAGGGAAGATAGTTACCAAAATCAACATTCTTATGATAGCAACCCTGAGTTTTATGGAGATCAGCAAATATTGTCAAAGCAATCAGACACCCCTGAAAATAGCGATGGAGAAGGAGAGGGCGAGGGCGATAATGGTGACCTTGAATACTATTTTAGCTGTCACGAAAGAATTATTCATGATACATATTCAGGTATGCCTGAAATTTTCATCAATTTTAGGCCAGTCTGGTAGCAATGCAAGCTCAGATATTTTTAAAAATGTTAATAAAGATGAATTTATCGAGAATAATACAGCTCCTAATCTTAGTAGATCTACTCTTCAAGATCAAATAGATTACGATCTGATCAACTTAAAGATCAATGAAAGCTCTGTAGAGTCAGCTCTTCTTCAAAAGAATGTATCTAAGGCAACTCTTTACGAAAATAAAAATACATGAGCCGATGTTAAGCCCAAACTTATGGAATTTCTTAACACCGAAAAGATAGCTTCAAAAATGCAAATACCAAAAATGTAAGATATTCCTTACTCTTTATAGGCTAAGAGACAATACTTTTTGGAAAGAAGAGTCTAAGCAAGTTCGTGATAAGGCTCTTACTAATAATAAAGCTTGCGCATACGACTACAAGCAAGGCTCTTCTGGAGGGAAAAGCGATGAGGAATGCCCTTCAAATCATCATGCTACAATTCAAAATTCATCTATCAAACCAACGATGTTTTTGGAAGAAGTTTTCCCAGAAAGACATATAAGGAACAGAAGCTATATCCCTATGAGAAGAGGAGACCAATGCTAAATGCCAAAGTTTATATTTTTACCTAATCAATTACTCTAATACTTTAGGGGTTTTGGGGTTTTGGGGTTTTGGGGTTTTGGGGTTTTGGGG